AACAAAGCTCATTTAACAACTCTCTCAGGCTCATCCAACCTGATTGAAGGATACGGAAAGGCACGTATCATGTTGTCTAATGGTACAGTTCTGACCATTAAAGAGGCACTTTATTCTCCACGTTCCGGAAGAACGTTTATGAGTTTTAGAGATATTCGAGATAATCAATATCATCTTAAAACCGCTGAAGATCATGGTTCTGAATTTCTTTGTATCACTTCGTATGAATATGGCTAGAAGCATATTCACGAGAAGTTGTAACGCCTGCCAAGTGGGTTGTACATCACAACCATTCGCGGCATAGAATCCCACAGTGTGGCCGGCCCTATGCCTAAGTTCTCGGACACTTTGTTGCTTTGGCATGATTGTTTGGGACATCCTGGACGTGACATGATGCGCCGTATCCTCAAATCTTCACACGGGCATAAGTTACATCCCTATGTTGGACTCCCACCATGCAAAGCATGTTCTTTAGAGAAGTTGAATACTTAACCCTCATATACAAAGATTATTCACGACCCCCCTAAATTTCTTCAGAGGATTCAAGGGGACATTTGTGGACCTATCCAACCAACTTGCGGACCATTCAGATACTTTATGGTGTTGGTTGATACATCGACATGATGATCACATGTTTGCTTGTTGGCCATACGCAACGCCACGTTTGCTAAACTCCTAGCCCAAATCATTAAGCAAAGCAAAGGGCTCACCACGTTTACGTCACAGACTTTTGACGATTACTGCATGTCAGTAGGGATAAATGTAGAACATCTTGTACCCCATGTTCACATCTAAAATGGCCTAGTAGAAGCTTTCATAAAGCACCTTCAATTGATAGCTCAGACGTTGGTTATGAGAACCAAACTGCCGGTATCTGCCTTGGGCTATGCAATATTGCACGCAGCTATGTTGGTCCGCCTGAGGCCCACCGCTACTCAACCACGTCTACCGTTACAGTTGGCCACTAGATACGAGCCTGACGTTTCGCATTTATGGGTGTTTATGTGCGCCATTTATGTGCTAATAGCACCGCCGCTACATATCAAAATGGGTCATCAGAGAAAAATAGGAATATATGTCGGTTATGATTCGCCATCAATTGTTCGCTACTTAGAACCCTTGACAGGAGATCTCTTTACTGCACGTTTTATGGATTGTCACTTTGATAAGACAGTTTTCCCGTCGTTAGGGGGAGATAAGCATGCTAACGTTCCCATAGAACGCTGCGAATTGTCGTGGTATGCTCGCACTATGTCTCATTTAGATCCCTGCACTGCCCAATCTGAAACTAAGGTACGTCAAATTATAGATCTTCAGAGCATTGCTCAAAGCATGCCAAATGTTTTTAATGATCTAGCAAAGGTGACAAGATCACATATACCCGCTGCAAACACACCTGCAAGGATAGATGTACCCCGCGTACGTTAACAACCCGCCTAGGAAGGCCGTACCCTCCACGCGACAAGGTACATTAGCGGGTAGCCAATCATCTGCTCCGACCCTAAAGCGTGGCAGACACCTTGGTTCAAAGGATTCACAACCCCGGAAGAGGAAAATGGCACCAACTAGTGACCTTAGTTTGAATTCGACCATCGCTCACTCATCCATTCCAACACATGAGGTTATTCTAGATTACGGTAATGCTTCAGACGAAACATGTCGGCCTCCCGAGAATCGTAAGATTTCAATCCACTACACATTATTGGATGAGGTTTGGAATAGGATTGAGATGATCATCGACGATGCATTCTCGTACTCAGTAGCTACTGACATCATGCTTAGTGATGACATTGATCCATGTTCCGTCAATGAATGCCGAAGTAAAACCGATTGGTCAAATTGGAAACAAGCAATCCAGGTCAAACTCGATTCACTCGCGAAACGTAAGGTATTTGGACCCATCGTTCCTACACCACCACGCGTGAAGCCTGTTAGCTACAAGTGGGTTTTCGTGAGAAAGCATAATGAGAAGAATGAAATAGTGCGATACAAAGCATGCCTCGTAGCGCAAGGTTTTTCTCAACGCCCAGGGATTGATTACGATGAGACATATTCCCTCGTAATGGATGTTATAACGTTTCGCTACCTAATCAGTTTGGTAGTTTCCGAAAAAATTGAATATGCAGCTTATGGACGTGGTAACCGCGTATCTCTATGGGGATCTAGATAAGGTCGGTCGTACCCAGTGCACAAGGCTCTCGCTTTACGCAGGGTCTGGAAGAGGTGAATGTCGGCTAGCCTTACCCCCATTTATGGAGAGGCTACTCCCAAGTCTCGAACCCGAGACCTACCGCTTATATAAAAGTTCCAGAAGGACTTCTAATAACTGGCTCAAATAGTTTTAGACCACGGAACACTCTCTCTATTAGGTTGAGGAGGTCACTCTACGAATTGAAACAATTCGGGCGAATGTGGTATAACTGTCTGAGTGAATACTTGACAAGTCAGGGTTATGTGAACAATGAACTATGCCCATGGGTGTTCATAAAGAAGTCACATTCCGGATTTGCAATCGTTGCAGTTTATGTTGATGACATGAACCTCATTGGGACTTCCGCAGAGCTTGAGGAAATTGCTACACACTTGAAATCAGAATTTGAGATGAATGCTCTTAGGAAAACTCGATACTGTCTCGGCCTGAAGATTGAGCATTGTTCGGATGGAATCCTAGTACATCAATCGAACTACACCCAAAAGGTGTTATGACGTTTTAATGAGGATAAAGCGAAGCCTTCGAGTACACCATGGTTGTTCGGACTCTAGATGCTAAACGAGATCTCTTCCATCCAAAAGAGGATGATGAAGAGATTTTGGAACCTGAGGTTCCTTACCTAAGTGCAATTAGAGCTTTATTGTACTTGGCTCAGTGCACTAGACCCGACATCTCCTTCATTGTGAATCTATTGACTAGATACAGCAATGCGCCCACACGCAAGCACTGGAATGGTGTTAAAGACATTTTTCGCTACCTCAAAGGTATTACGGATTTGGGTTTGTTCTATACCCGTAAATCTCAAAGTGTTGCCGCCCCCTATAACCCTCGGATTGATTCTCGCCTTATTGGTTATGCAGATGCTGGATATCTGTCTGACCCATATAGAGCGTGTTCTGAACACCGCTATATCTTGGAGGTCTACCAAGCAAACGCTAGTTGCGACTTCGTCTAACCATGCTGAGATTCTCGCCCTACATGGAACATCGCGTGAGTGCTTTTGGCTGAGAGAAGTTATGGAACATATTTGAAGCACCAGTGGTCTTACATCAATCGTTGACCTTCCTACAACGATCTTTGAAGACAATGCAGTATGTATCGAGCAGCTGAAGAAGGGATACATCAAGGGAGACAACACCAAACACATAGCGTCGAAGTTCTTTTACTCATACCAGCAGCAACAGCATCAGAACATTGAAGTCAAGCAAATCTGTTCCCAGGACAACCTGGCCGATCTCTTTACCAAGTCATTGCCTAAGTCTAAATTTCAGAAGCTAGTCCAAGGAATTGGTATGCGTAAATTGTCTGAGTTGAATCGATTGTAGTTCTCTTATATAGAAGTTATGTCTGACTCAGGGGGAGTATCTAGAAACATACTCACATAATCTTAATGTACTTTTTTCCTACAATTAGGAGCATTTTTCCCACTGCGTTTTTGCTACCTAACGAGGTTTTAATAATGCACCCATCCTGGGATGATCATACTTCGATGAGTTCACTACCTTCGTCCAGTTTGACGAGTGCTTTAGACATTATGCATATTTTCTTACTTTTCTCCTTAGTTTATGGGTTTTTGCCTATTTTAGGTTTTACCAAAGCAAGGTTTTTGTGAGTTTTTGCAAATGCATACTTCAAAGTAAATTTGAGACTCGCGATCACCCGTTGTGCCGATGACTTCATCAACTATTTTGCTGAAGATCTGATGCGATGGTTTGTTAAGTATTTACACACTCAAGAGGGAGTGTTGCAGTCATATTTAGAATAGGAATGTGATTATGTAAATCATAAGGAATCTTAAATTCGATTTTCACCAAAAGCAAATTTAAACGACATTTTTGCTAGCTCATTATGATGCTAACCCCATCCCCCTCTCAATTAGTGTAGATAGACTAAATTTATTCACTTCTCCTTAATTTAAATAATATCATTTGTTAAAAATAAAAATAAAAAACAAACAAAGTGACATCTGCTAATACAAATTCGATTTAAAAATGCAAAAAGATTAACGCAGAAGAATTATTATTGTTATAACTAATTATTACCCATTGGCGGCCGATAAGTCATAGACTTGTGTAATGGGTCCAACCCTCCATTAAGAGGAAAGCCAGGTGGGCGTCACGTGGCCGCACACCCCAATTTCTTCCACTTGTGACTTGCAACTGTCCAAGTTGGCAAACTTTGAAAACTGGAGGCGCCCACAGACTACAGGCTCTATATTGGTGGGGTGGGTCGCCACGTCAGTGCAGAATCCAAGGCCTTCTATACAAATGCTGAAATATATCTGTTAAAATTGATAATTTAAAAAATTAAACTTTTTAATTATTTATATAATAACAGGTGATGTACCATGTTCCGATTAAAAAGGTCGTACCCAGTGCACAAGGCTCCCGCTTTACGCAGGGTCTGGGAGAGGTGAATGTCGGCTAGCCTTACCCCCATTTATGGAGAGGCTGCTCCCAAGTCTCGAACCCGAGACCTACCGCTCATGGGCGAAGGCACTTGCCATTATAATGAAAAATTTATCGCTTCCGAAAATCGCATCCGTAAATCCCACAACACGTGGCGCTCTCCGGTGGCGATGAGGGATTGTAGTCGTAGGCCGAGCATGTACAGGAATAGAAGGCCTAGGAACGCCCATACCATTCCAACTCGACAGCCACCAGAACGCCGCCACGCGGAGAGGAATCAAATCGTGAATCGTCACGTGCTGGTCACGTGGAGGAAAATGCGTGGACCTCAGCGCGGGATATAAAAGCTGAACTGCAGCCGCGGATATCTATCGTGGAGAAGAAGTTAAAACAACTTCGAAGAAATTGGTGAAGACATTTTTCCAATTTGCTTGCTTCACTCTTCTTGGATTTGACGAAACAGTCCCCGATCCTACTTCCCTTTACCGTGTAAAATCACGTAATTAAATCGGAAGTATAGGGGTATTTCCGCCACGCGGTACCAGGCAGCGAGCGCGCGATTCGGATATAAATCTTGGTGTGCTGAGACGGAGGAAGCAGAAAATACGAGAGGCGGAGAAAAATGAAGGAGTGCGAGCTTTGCGGAGTTCGGGCGCGGGTTCACTGCGAGGCGGACCAGGCGAGGCTGTGCTGGGACTGCGACGGGAAGATTCACGGAGCTAACTTTCTGGTGGCGAAGCATCCAAGGAGCCTCCTCTGCCACGGATGCCAGTCGCTGACGCCGTGGACGGGGTCGGGTTCCAAGCTCACGCCGACGGTCTCTGTCTGCGAGACATGCGTGGAACGCCGCGGGAGTAAGTTCGAGCGGCGGGCGGAGGTTCAAGAAAGCGAAGCGGAGAATGACGGCGATGATGATGACGAGGAGAGAGAGGTGGAGGATGGCGATGATGATTGTGACGAGAGTGATGACGATGCGAATCAGGTGGTTCCGTGGTCGTGTTGTTCGTATACGGCGGCGGAGCCTCCGCCGGTGGCTGGTTGTTCCAGCAGTAAGGAAGAGGAAGAGGAATATTCGGTGTCGAAGCGAATGCGGGGAAATGCGGACGAGGCTTCTGATCTGCGATGCGAGACGCCGTTGCCGTGTTCGTTAAGGATGTTGAAGCGACAGAGACTGAGCGAATAGAACCGTTTATTGAGTCAGAGATCAACGGTGATGGTGAGCAGGTGATCAAGGTAATCAACGAAGATATGATCGTGCGTCCGCAAGAGATGATGAGAACCGTTAATCTTAATTATGTTTATTTAACGATTTGTTAGTTTCTAACAATACATTAGAGGTGTAGTAGCTAATTGTTGAATGCTGTCGCAGGTCCATGACCACGTGGTATAGAATCTATCCCCCCCTTGCCCCCCGCCCCCCTTCATTGGATCCAATTTAATATATGTTAGAGTAATGTAATGACATTCCTTAATTTTGTATTTTGGTGTGTGTGGGAATTTGAAGTATGACTTAGATTTATAGTTTTAAGGGTAACGTTAGAGAGATCAAAATTTGTAAATCAAATGTCGTGCTTGTAGATGATTGAATTATTAATTAAGTGTTGATTAACGTATTTGTTTCTTATCGGTGACACGTAATTTTATCTAAAAAATTTGATCTTCCTAATATTATTCTAATTTTAGTTCTTGAAGTGATAGTTGTCTTCACTTAGTACCACTAGTTCTTACTGAAAAGTAGTCACTCATTCAGTATAGTTGTAATAGCATCTTTGCACATATCTTTACTCTAAGATTATGTTTGGATGAAAGATAAATGTTAAGAAGATTCTATCAAAATAAAACTTCAAATTCTCTCAAAAGTAGTTTAACATTAATTTTTGTATTAGCATTATAAAACATAAGCTGACAAAGAGTCCATAAAGAATTTCATTTTTAAGAAAGTCTCCGTAGCATTTTTCTCGGATGGAGACTTCGAATTCAAAGCGATTGAGTCCAAGTAATAAAGGATGAAGCAAAAAATGTGAATAACAGAGGATTAGTAATGAGCATTTCAAAAAACATGCGTACGAGATACGAAACATTCTGAGTTGAAATTTGCAAACCGTACCAGCGTAATTTTTATGACAACTAAAAGAAAAAAAAATGGAGATAATATGGGGAGAGGGGACCCGCCGGGACTGTGGGTGCACTCAGAATGGAAAGAATTAGGTGCGGATTGACAAGTTGAGACACCAAGTGGCTGGTGGTATGAAAGTAAGAGGTCGCTCTAATTTCCATTTTTGTTTGGTGAAGAAATAGAAATGTTTATCTTGTGTTTTGGTTTAGTTTTAAGTTTCGACTTCTTGGAAGGTATACAGAGGAGTGTTCAAATTCAACGGACTAAAATTAAGAAGGATGTGAAAAATAAAAACATGTGTAGATATCATTACCTTATACATATTATTTCGGATATGCACACGGGACATTACGGTATCATTCTTACCGTTATTTCAGGTATGCACGTGTCGGAACATTACGGTATCGTTGTTACCGTGTCATGTACGTCTTTATCCGAATGCAGACAAACCATTTCTATTAATAAAGTATTATTTTTGAAACACTTGGCTAACCAACAATTTCTCATAATCGATCATATCCCGTTGACATTGGCATCACAAAGTCGGTTTGAAAAAAATTCAGTGCGTTACTACGATGTCATTGTTGGACTGTTGCTTGAAGCTTGCATGCCAAAGCAATTCACTTGTTAGGCACATATCTATTCGAGTTGAAAGAAAAGCCCAACATTACGCTCCCCTCCAGAACATCAGACTCTACCACAGGACGGAACCCACAGCGCATCAACGGCTTACAGCCACTCATGCGCACGTGAACGACTATCCTTAGCATCACTCTTTAGGACAAATCCGACACGAGAAAATGAATGACTTTGAAAAGTAATGCAATCAAGGTTGTGGTAGAAAGTACCTTACCATACCAAAGAATCCAAATATAAACATCCAATAATTAAATTTGCATCGTACTAGCAACAACAAGCACATCCCTCAAAACTAAAAGGAGTAGGTGGGTCACAAAGCGGTCGAACAAAGTAGGAAATGCGTCATGGAAACCCTAAACCTCATTCACCATACAAATACCATCTCCAATCATCCCAAAGTTCATACATGAGAAAGAGCTGTTGGTGAGGAGAGAAAGCAGTCTGGACTCAACGTATCTTGACACCACTCCCAGTCGACTCAAACATCTACACAAACCGCACCATATAAAATGAGTTGAATTGGTCACCCATACTCATTCACCATAAACGACTCCAAAACTGAACGTAGACAGGGTAAAAATGAAGCCCCCAGGGAATATAAATTTACAATAACAAGTTACAAGCAAGAAATAGAGACATTTGGCATTAAATGCGACCTGTACTTGAAAGGATTCAACTACGAATCGGAATACCAGCTAAGTTTCTGCCACAAGAAACCAAAAAAAACCAAATAATAGTGTCATTAATATGAAAATACAGAAAAGATTTCAAGCCAAAACAATATTTGCTCACCCTCCACTCTTTTTGAACGATACAAACCCACTTGCATACGCACACAAAACAAAAAAAAAAATCTTAACAGCTGCAACGGCATTTCAGCCCTTCCAGAACTAGTTGCAAGGTCTCTTCTTTCACACAACCTTACGATATGCCTTTATTATCAATCAACCTTGAGGCTAAAATAGTAAATACATATATGTGCATAGGGTAGCGTTATTCACACACCCCTTTTTACCTCCCACACACCCTTGTTAATTTTTGTCCATTGATCTTCAATTCATTCAATCCGACGTCCGGAAATTGAGAGGGGTATGCAAGAGGTAAAAATGGGTGTGTGGATAGCACCACCCATATGCATATGTTGTAATTATTATCATGCCCATTATTTCAAGCAGCCCAAATTTTTATCATGCAAAATCGCTGAAATGTTACCAATGCACCAACTTGTACAGAGGAAACACTATCCCAGAGCTAATAAACCAAATTGAGTAACAACTGAAAATCACAACAAGACAACTACTACTTAGTGGCTAAGATCATCCCAAAATAATGTATATTATTTAAAGTACAATATGTGCGAAACAAAATAATAAGAATATTATTTAATGTACCTCACATGTCAATGTTGTAAAGCATCGCTTAATCAACTAGTTCAGAATAAACACATTAGAAAATAGTTCTTAGTTCTATCATGGCTAAGGGTGAAAAACATATCCCAACTAAGGGTGAAAAACATATCCCAACTCTATACGCGTTCACCTATTCATACGTGAGAGATTAAAAAGGCACAATATATTCTTCAGGGAAAAGCCAAAATGATAAACAAGAGGACATTTAAAACCAGTATAAATAAGGCATTTTGACAAAATTTTAATTCCAGGATTCCTTCTGATGAAATGTTATATTACCCGATGACTTGATTCGAGGCATGCAGGGGGTGACATGAGTCATACAGTCATATCAGTTAAACTCACTGATGAAACATACTCTTTTGTTCTACTTAGAATTTGTAAGCACCACTGGTAGATGCAAAAAGATGTGGACGGGCCCTGACAACTAGACGTGTAGACAACAGCAAATTTACAACCTAGGTTAGTGTCTTGTTTTTAAACACTATACAAGAATCCTGATTAGGTCCCTGAACAAAGCCGTTTCATTTCAAAATCACAACTAACAAGAAGGGACTATCCAGCAGAGTGAGAATGCCATGGAGCTACCCAAACTATCCGGAGCAGATTAACCTACTGAATAAACAGCTAAACTTTCCAGCGATATGAGCAACCTTGCTCATCATTAAGTTTTCAAACGATTTTCTTTCCTACAGTTCTATACGAAGTGCATACTAGGAAACAATCAACTAGAAGTATCACCAATGAATTTCACAAACATGTCATATATATGAAAAGGTTGTCAAAATTATACGGCTTTTGGCATAGAGAACTTATTCCGACATTAAACAAGAGAAGAAGTAGACTTGTTTTTGTTTATATGAAGCATCTGGCAGCATGACCACACACTAGTAAAGGGAAAGCTAATTCCAAGCAATTTTTATCTTTCCAGAAGAAAGAAAAAGGATATTCTCATAGGTAGGATATTTAATTGAAAAATCCAAAAAGGTCAAACCAGTCCCACAAGTGCATGGTGATGGTAAATGCTACGTAGAACCTCTATACACAAACAAAAATCCACAAAGGACTGATGATCGTTAAGAAAGATTGGAAAGACCCAGCAACTCTAAAAGTAAGCAAACTTAAATTGGAAGGCTCCATGTTAATCTTGTTGGGTTTTTTTCCAGCCCATGATAAGTTGTCCTAGAGGAATTATAGTTTTAGAGGATTAAATTGTTTTCCCAATTGGAGTTGTTTTTCTAATTGGAGTTGTTTACGCAATTGGAGTTAGTTTCTCAATTGGAGTAGGTTTTATAACTAGTTTCCAATTAGGATTAATAATCTTTATTGAAGAAGAACTTTATTATGTCTATATAAAGGGGCTATTGTAATAGTTTTGAATTAAGGGGCAAAGTGTGTGCGAGAAAAAAGAAAAGAGATAAGTGTATTTTTTGTTCTTGTTCTTTCAGGTTTTTCGTCAAGTACTAGTTCTAGAGATGCAAGATTACTGGTTGTACTCATTATTGATATAGTGAAAGATTGTTGTTGCTGTCCCATGGACGTAGGCACATATTGCCGAACCATGTAAATTCTTGGTGTTATTTATCTTGGTTATTTGTTTTTCGATTTCCGGAGTTTGTTCTTATTTTTCCCATTCTTAAACGCGATATTCTCAACAAATCTAGCGATAAAAAGCATCTCGTTCTCATTCAACAACATTTTCACATTCAAAGAACCTCATGATGCTTTCACAAAACAAGCATAAGTTGAGGACATTGCGAAAAGATCAAACTTTGTTTAATCAACCTTGGATATGTAGGTCCATAACATACAATAATAGAAAAACATTTGCAGTTCGCATATACATCGGAAGCAAATTCAAATTTTGCGAAAAGTTAAGACGGATGCATCGGTAACTGCTACAATTAACATAGTTCCCATTTGTAGCTCTCATTTCGGATATGTGTAATGTGCAACAATCATACCCAAATATGACACAATCACCAACTAAACAAACTAGATTCCGAAAACCATTAAAAGTCGAAACTTGAAGTTACTACAATCAAATCAGAGAAAAAGCCCTAACCTTTCTTATGCTCCTCCTTTAGCACCGGCTTGATCACGGCCTCTTCCTCCTCATTCTCTTTAACAGAAACAACCGGAGGAGCACCAGAACCACCATCAGCAACGCCGCAATTGTCATCCTCCGGAAACCGGACAACAACAACGGGGCAAACACAGTGGTGTACACAATAATCGCTGACGCTTCCCAGCCTGCCGTCGTTCCCACGCTTGGCAGCGCCGACCCCTCGGCTCCCCATGATCACGGCACTGAGCCCTAGCCTCTCGACCTCCAAGCAGAGCCGCTCCTTCATGTCATGGTCCTTGACGATGTGGATCTTGTACGGAATCTGCGCCTCCCTCAAGGGCTTGGCGAGATCGGCGGCCTTGGAGGCGGTGAAGGCATCGAAGTCGTTCT